ACTGATGCTCGTATCATTCCTAGGGTCATTTGCACAAATGTAAATTTTATACTTCTTAAAATCCGGTTTCTGAAACAATTCTCTTTGTCGAAGGTATTGCTCAGCGAGGAGAAAATATGGGAACAAATGGATGCAATGAGAACGATAGTGGGTTATAAAGCCGGACCTCAGTTAACATGCTTGGAGGAACTAAAGGCTCTCTACATCTTCACTGGAGTTGAGCCCCCTGCCTCGTTTAAAGACCCTTCTGATCTCGCGGAGGTCAATCTCAAGCTTCGGTTTCTCATGTCCATAGTTGGAGTGAAGTAAAACTAGTTTTTTTTTTTCTTTCATAGACTTGTTGGTGAATGATTGCTGTTGTCTTTATTTTCGTTTTGGGAGGTTTATAGCTAAGATAATATGATGCAATGGCATACTTTTAAATGATATGGTATGGTATGGAGCAGAGTTTTGCTGCTGTAGCAGTCAAGGTAATATGAGTATCGGATGTTTTATATCTCATGTTTGTTCATGAAGAGTTGTTAATGCGACTGCTAGATTTCTTTAAGGACCTTATATTCTATAGATGCTGAGTAGATAATTTTGATTTGACATTTTTTTCTGGTAGCTATTCTATATATATATATATATATATATTTGTTTGTATGACCCGGGGTATCCGAAGCTTTGCCCTGACTAATTACCGAAGATTCAGGAAGGATAGCGGAGATCTAGCTCCACGAAAGCTCCTAGTGGGAATCGAATCCGAACCCTTGGGTTTGCTATTCTATGTTCTTATTGAGGTCGGGCCTTGGTCATAGATTTGATATGGCCACTGTTCATGTGTAGAGGTAAGTATTGTGATTTGGAGGTTAGAGAGTTGAAATGACGACTGTTTGTGTGTGATAGGGTTAAGTATTGTGATTTCTGTTGCGGAATTGGTTCATCTAAAATTTAGAGTTATGTTCAAGGGTTGCAGGACAAGATACGTAGAGTTCAAAATTAAATTAACAAGTACGAAAATTATCAAAATATTTTCTAAGAAATTCTGAAAATTACAAAGTAAACGGGATGGGATTTTTTTATATGTTGTGGTTAGGTCAGTTTATATGTTGCGCGTAAGATGGTTCTCGACTTTGCAATGGCGGGAGGGGATAAACAGAATAGAGGACACTTAATGGAGCAATCGAGTCTAACTTATTGTTTTTTCTTAAAGCAATTCATTTTTCACGTTCTATTGTTTGATCATGTTGTTCATATAGTGTTATTTGAGAGCGAAGGCGTTTTAAAAAATAATAATAATAATAATTTGAAGACGAAGGGGATGACGTGGTACTAAAATATTTTTAATGAATTATCTAGTGGTATTACGAAACCTAGTACCACCGAGGGGGCAGTAGTTAAATAATATCATGATGAATTATTAGATGATCTGGGTTCATGAATTTTAATATTTTTTGTTATGAAATTATGCTTTTACTTTATCTACATCTACAATGTCGATTTTGTTTTGTGTTGCAAAATTAAACGAAAATATGAATGTTTACATAGTTCATGTAAAATTTAGGACCATATTTAATGATTTGTAGGGGTTTTATTATGAAACTTCCTATAAGTTAAATATTCTCTAACTTATTCTAAGATGAATTCGCTATAAATTGACACGTGATATTTAAAATCCCTCTCTATGCAATTTTTACTGCCAATAGTAATGGTTGGAAAACAATATAATTTTTTTATTTTTAATTGATATGCTTTGAGAATTCAGGATGGGGAGGAATTCGTATAAAAGAATATCCTAACCAATTTGGTTTTAATTTGTTTCCACTAAAAACATGTTTAGTTTTGTCATTTCCTATTAATAATAAATAATGGTAATTAAAAAAAAAAAGAAGCGATTGCCTTAAATATAAAAATATAATGGTAATTAAAAAAAGAAGCAATTGCCTTAAATAAAAAAAGAAACCTGATTAATTAATTACCGTAAGATTAGATTTTAAGGTCAGAATTAAAAGTGAATATACTACTCCATGTTCACCAGGGAGTAATTGAACGCTATTGATGTATATCTATATAAAAAGCATGAATGTTGATGGAGTTAGTAAAATATAACCAAAAGCCCTATATGTAAAAAAGATGAAAGAGAACCTTGGTAACTTATTTAAAATATGAATAGAGAGAGAGAGAGAGAGAGAGAGAGAGAGAGGAGGAGTTTTTAAACTTTAGTAAATTTTTGTTATCTCAAACTATATATAGAAAAGATGAAAGAGAACGTGGGTCACTTGTTTAAGATAGGAATAATGATGAACGTAGTTTTTAAAGCGGTAAGTAGATTTTAAATGTCACGTGTCAATTTAACAAATTCAACTAATAAATAAAGGACACAAAATATGGAGAGTTTAAATGAATAAATACCTTTGTTGGAAGGTAACATAATAAGTGCCAAAAATACCAAAATACTTGAGTTAGTCCATTTAGATTATTAAATTGAGCTATAGATAAATTTGATAACTAGTATTTTATATTGAAATGCACTTCCATGTTCCAAAATAGTATTTTATTTTGCTATGAAATTATGCTTTTACTTGATCTACACGTACATCCATTTTGATAAGTATTGTGATTTGTGTTGCGAAATTAAACAAAAAAAAATTATATAAAATACATAGTTCATCTAAAATTTAGTATTAAATTTAAGGACTATAAGAATTTTATCATGATGATTAAAAAAGGCATAAGATTACAGAGTTTAGAATAAATAAATATTTTTGTACGAAGGCAACATAATAAGGGAATTGTGTACCTGAATTAATTAGTCTATTTCAATGATTAAATTGAGTTCTAGATAAATTTGATAACTAGTATTTTATATTGAACGCACTTCTTCCAAATTGTATCAAATTGGGTTACAGATAAATAAAATTCCAAATAGTTCTAAAAAAATATATAAATAAATATTATATTATTTTTAGGTTTTTCACATTTTTAAGAGAAAATTTCTAATTAGTTATACTTTTTAGCTCTAAAGACCAAAAAAAAAAAAAAAAAAAAAAAAAGTCATGTGCAAAGAAGTCCTATTTTTGAAAAATATTTCCAATAAGTTCATCGGTAAATAATGAACAATTTTTTAGCATGAAAAATACTTCAGTCCTGTTCCATGAAGACATAATGTGTCCTTCCAATAAGAGGTTGACAATATTTTAAACTTAAAAAAATACAAAACATGGATTATACCTATTTTTAGGATTAAACTCGACAGATCTATTATTTTCCTCTCTTTGCACTCTCTGTGTATCTCCTTACGATGAGGTGACCCAATAAAATATCGACAGGTGTTTAAGTTTAAAAAAAATAAAAAATAAAAAATAAATGATGACTACATACAATAGAGACTAACTCTTCCCTCTTTCTCTCTCACACATTGATATATATTATTTTTGTGTTTTGATATATATATATTAGATCGGTATCTTTCTCTCATACATGAGAGTTGAGACAAATAACCATTCTCGTATATGAGAGTTGAGACAAATAACCATTATATATATATATATATATATATTAGATCTGCATCTTTCTTTTTTCCTTAGCCGCCCATCATTCCAAACCTAATATTCAATACCAGCACCTCCACCACTTTGCTTCAGATGGGATTTCGATTTCGATTTGGTCTTAGAAAGGATTGATTCATTTTTTTTTATTTTTTTATTTTTATTTTTATAAACAGGTTTGTTAAAACATTATATTTGTCCGACCGTGTAATTTTTCTCTCTTTCAAATAGCTTAAATCGAATAAGAGATTTTGTTCAAATTTTGAGTTTTTTTGGCTTTCAAATTTTGAGTTTTTATTAATTTGAGTATATACATTGTATAAATAAGATAGAAACTGCATTGACGAAAAAATGAATAATTTTCATATATAGCATACATACAAAATAGTTGAGGTAGATTTTAAAAAGGGAGAAATAGAAATGGTTAGTTCAATTTTTTTAAGGATAGTTTTCTATCTTAAGAAAATTAAAAATAACAGAAAAGGTAGGAAATATAATTTTTCATAAGCTAATTAAAAATAATATTAAAAGTTGAGTAAGAAAAAAAAATAGATCTATCGAGTTTAACTTTAAAAAATAGATATAACTCATGTTTTGTATTTTTTTTTAAGTTTAAAAAATGTGTCAATCTCTTATTAGGACACGTTAGTGTGCAGTACACAATCTGTCTTGATGGAGCAGGACTGAAGCATTATCCTTTCAGTATTGCCCTTTATTGTTAAGTTACCATTATTATTTTTAAAATTATATGAAAATACAAATTTGCTCTCTACTTTCAATATTTTGTAACTAATACTTTTATAAAAAAAAAATTTATTTGTTACCAAAATAAATAATCCTAAAAAATAATAATAAAATATTTCAAATACACTTTTCGTAAATACTCACATGTTAAAATACGATGAAAAACTTTTCATTAAATACATTTACAAATAACAAATGAATTATTTTCAATCTTTTTAACATGTGAGTATTTACGAAAAGTGCATTTGAAATATTTTTAAAATTTTTAAAGATTATTTATTTTGATAACAAATAATTTTTTTATGAAAGTAATTAGTTATAAAATATTGAAAGTGGACAGAGAATTTGTATTTTAGTAAAAAAAAAAGGATTGGTAACATGGCAGTAAAGGGCAATACTGAAAAAATATTCATTGTTAGAGAATCTGGATTTATTTAGAAATATTTTTTAAAATTTGTCACCAAGATTTTATAGGACTTACTATTTGGCTTTAGAGCTAAAATGTATGACTAATTAATAATTTTCTCCAATTTTAAATTAGGAACTTATACTGTATTTACAAATTTCCCTACTAGCACGATCTGGGTAAAAATATTTTTATCATAATAATAATAATAATATTTTTTATGCAAGAATATTATTATATGTATTTTTTTATATAAAAAAATGATTATATATGCCTAATTTTTTGGGATAACTGTAGTTTCGCAGGAAAGTTGGACCAATTCCACGCTATATATAATTCTAGAGAGAGAGAGTAGAGAGAGAATGAATGAGAACCCCGCTTTTCCTTCTTTCCCTCGCAATTGACTCTGCCCTCATTTGCCTCTCCAATATCTGCGATCTCTCATCTACTTCGTGCCCAAGCACATTCTTCTTGAGCTCTTCCTGGTACTCTCTCTCTGTCTTCTGTCTCTCTTCTCTATACGTATATATTTTTTCGTAGCTTTTAAGCACATGAATGCTGGGTACGAGTTACTTTTTCGCATATTTTTTATTTCGGTGATTTATTTTGTTCCTTGTTATTGCATGGAATTGTACACCTCTCTTTGACTGTGATTTATGTTATTTATATTTAAGTTAAAGCTCAGCCAATGTCTTAATTATTATTACGCAATCTGAGTTTCAGATTTGGGTATGATTATTTGGCGATGTGGGTATCATCATCATATAGGGTATATATGTGTAGATCAAGTAGAAGCAGAATACCTTTTTGGGATAAACGAGAAGGATTAATTTTTATAATTAGATAAATTAGATCATTGGCGATCTAACCCATTCAAGTTCTCTCGTTTTTCTTATTATTATTATTTTTTTCCCTGTTTTTCATAATGGATGGTAGGATGTTGTATTAACCAATATTCAAGAATTTATTTGATAGATAATGGGTTTGCATTTAATCTGCTAATTTTATTAACGAATATTCAAGAATTTATTTGATAGATAATGGGTTTGCATTTAATCTCCTAATTTTATTAACGAATATTCAAGAATTTATTTGATAGATAATGCGTTTGCATTTAATCTGCTAGTTTTACTCTTCTAACATTTTTAATTTTAAAGATCTTCTTGTTTGGTGCTATTATTATTATTATTATTATTATTTTCTCCCTCACTCTGGCTATATTCAAACTACCATAATATGGGTGCTTTATCCAAATTTTAATGGGGCATTACTAGAATTTTTGTAAAATCCTAGGCATTCAACATAAATATATTAAAAAAAAATATTGTGTTTGGGGCGGATGCCCCCACTCGGCTCCATGTAGCTCTGTCCCTGTTGAAAGTCTATGAAAATTAATACTTTTGGTGACTAATAACATGTGTAGAAAATGATGCCATCTAAAGCCAACATTTATATCTAAAAAATGTTATTTCTTTCGTAAATGCCTTCTTAAGAACTGCTTCTATTCTAAGATCACACTTTTCCCACAAAGGATTTCCCATCTTAGAGTGCTCTGTCAAACTCACCCTTCAGTGTTTGTCTTTATTAAATAGAAAATTCTGTGAATTAGAATGAAACCGGATGGTATTGGATGGACCTGTTCTTCCTAATAAACTTCACAATAGAGAAGTGCTATGTGACTTAGATTGATTGATTTAGGATAGTTATTAAGTGCTGTCATGGCATTTAAGGAGGAATGGGATTCTCTTTTTCTCCACCAATCCCCCCGAACTCTAGACCTAGAGGTTGGCTTGTGTAAGCCAAGAGGCTACAAGAGGACCGGTAAAGGTTCCATTCTTGATGCTATTAAAAGAAAGTATGTGACCTAGGTTTTGTGTATTTGTTTGGAAGTTAAATAATTGATTTGGTAGTTCCACCTTTTCTTTTTTCACCTTTATTATTATTATTTTGGCAAGTCTCGTGAATATGTTTTGCCAAATAAAATTTCAGTCACTTGGTCAAAGAATTAAACAAATCTTCTTCTTTGATAACATTAGATAACATTAGACCAATCAATTGAATGTTGATAAATACGTAATCGATTAAAATCTACTTGCGTATGGCTCTTTTGCTCAGAAATACTTGTTCCAAATGTCCATTATAATTCTTGCTTGAGGATCTTTAATTGAATGATTCATTGGTCTGAGAGAGGAAAAAAAAAAAGGGATAGGGTTGAACCATTTCTTTCGATTCACTTTCAAATTTTATAAATGTTGGTTGATCCTGTATCGTCATTATAATTTTATGAATCAAACTGTTCTTTTTTCTACATAATTCCATTGGAAGTATCAATTCTAGTGTTAGGAATAGAGACTAGAGCATTTTCAGTTATCTTTTATTTTTTAAACCCTTAATTGTGTTTTGCATAAATGCATCATCCTTATGGTAGGGAGTCTAGTGACATATATTTTCTTCATTTGCAGAGAACTTTTAGAGCTGGGAAGCTGACTGATTAGATATTGAAGCTTTTCAGACAAATTGGAAAAGAAGAAATTCTCTCTCATCAGGCACGTAATATCTAGCATATTCTCACTCCTGTCCTTACAACTGGTAAGTTCTATCTGATAATGTCCATCCTGCATAAACATGGAAATCCTGCATAAACATGGAAGGGCTCTTCTCTGACCTTCAGAATTATATGGACAGGATGCATGGAGAAAGTCTAATGTTGCTTGACATTTTGTGAGCACACATAAACATTTGCAATTCAGACACCAGCTGTTTTTGAGAGGCCAAATCAATTTTTGCTTTTGATTATTGCTACCCCATTTCTGACAGAATGTCTCAAGTAAGCATCAAAGACGATGAAGTTGACATTGTGATTGGTGCACTCCACTCTGACCTAACATCCTTCATGGATGAGTGGAGACCGGTATTCTCCCGATTCCACCTAATAATTGTCCAAGATCCTGACCTCAAAGAGGAACTCAAAATACCAGGAGGCTTTAACCTTGATGTCTATACCAAGTCTGACATAGAACGAGTGGTGGGAACTTCTTTCACTGCCAGTCTCTTTTCTGGTTATTCATGCCGGTACTTTGGCTATTTTATGTCCAAGAAGAAATATATTGTCTCAATTGATGACGACTGCATCCCAGCCAGGGAAAATAATGGCAACTCAGTAGATGTTGTGGCTCAGCATATCACCAACCTTACGACCCCAGCTACTCCTTTTTTCTTTAATACACTTTATGACCCTTTCCGGAAGGGGGCAGATTTTGTACGTGGATATCCATTTAGCATGAGAAATGGGGTGACGTGTGCTCTTTCATGTGGACTCTGGCTAAATTTAGCTGACTATGATGCACCAACACAAGCCCTCAAGCCGGAGCAGAGGAATTCTCGGTATGTTGATGCTGTGCTGACCGTGCCTGCAGGCACCATGATGCCTGTGAGCGGGATCAACATAGCTTTTGATCGCGAGGTGATTGGGCCTGCCTTGTTGCCAGCATTAAGGTTGGCAGGGGAAGGAAAGTTGAGGTGGGAAACAGTGGAAGATATATGGTGTGGAATGTGTGTTAAGGTGGTATGTGATCACATGGGGATTGGTGTGAAAAGTGGGCTGCCATACGTGTGGAGAAAGGAAAGAGGTGATGCCGTGGAGAGCTTGAAGAAAGAGTGGGAAGGGGTAAAGCTGATGGAGGAAGTGGTCCCTTTCTTTCAATCACTGAAGTTGTCGCAGACTGCAACTACAGCCGAGGAATGTGTGGTTGAGATAGCTGCAGCAGTGGAGGAGCGACTGGGACAATTGGATCCCGTGTTTGCTCGTGCTGCCAAAGCCATGGTGGAGTGGGTCAAGCTCTGGAAGGTCGGAGCTAGATCACCGGCCCCTGTTTCCTAAAAGACGGTACTAATTATTTTTTTTTAGTAACGCTTCTGATTTCCAGTGTCGCCCTTTTCAATGTCCCTTTATTACTAATTTATACTAGATAGGAGTATGGAAATAAAAAGTGTTATAGAGTAACACCAGATGTCCTCTGTTTTACTTTCATTTTTGTAGGTTATGTTACTTCTATTATGCTGCTCTTGACTCAACCATTTATACATATATAGAGAATCAATGGCTTACCCTTCACAGCTTCTACTGCTACAAATGGAAACATCTTCATCCTGATGTAGCAACATTTACGTCCAGGTCTTCTAGAGGATTAGCACATTATGCAGCAATGTTAGTTTGTGTCGCTTTTATTAGGTGTTTTTGGTTCTATTTGAAGCGCATATTGCCCTTGCTATAAAGGACAATCGAAGAACTATATAAACCTGTACTTGTTTTTATTCCTGAAAACCTTATAAAAACGAACAATTCTGATTCTTTTTACTGTATTCGGATGCCTCTTCATTTTTAGACTTTGTACTGCTCTGGTGTGCTCTTCCCTTTTCATTCATTCATGCCTTTTGAGAGATTGTCTGCTTAATAATTGCCATGCTTTTGTATTATGGGCTCTCTTTTCTGTAACACATGAAACTAACTGTTTACTTTAACACTTATACTTCCAGCATTTAGTTCAAATTCAGCAGCTGAGTAAAGTTGGCATTTTGTTTCCATTTCTGTACTTTTTGAGTGGATTATGTGTGTGATGAGGTGCTGAAAGTTCGAGGAATTTTCAGAATTGTTGGCACTTGAAGTGGACATATGAAATTGGATAGGTGTTAGAGGGGGCTCGTCCAAAGTCACCTTCGGGTGGTGGAGTTAAGCTTCATCCTGATCATGGATAGATCACCCAGATTCGGGTACATAAGCAGTTGCAATTGCTGTGTGAAGACTTGCTTTTGCTATCGCTATGGCTCCGGTGGGTTCCCTTAACCAAGCCACTGCCTATGAGTCGCCAGTTCATTCTTCAACGGCATCTGCGCGCTCCAAGCAATGGCCAGCGGGCTCCCCATCCGGCCCATCTTGAAACATGGACCAAGGAGTCTGACATGTGTGCGAGTCAACGGACTATCAAATCCATAAGGCGCAAGGAAGCTGATTGGCGAGCATATAGGGGCGGGCATATATCATTAGTCAATAGTTTTTAGGTCAAACGGCAAGCGGTCGCCCTGTTACAAGTTGAGTCGGACCTATACATTAATCCGATGTCATACCAAACGTTCGTTTGGGTCGAGTGTGAGTCCAAGTCGTTATTGGATCCTCTTGTTACGTTAGGGGAATGGGTAGGCATGGTTGTTTGATGACAACGAGGGTGTTGTAAGTTCGGGTAGTAGGGTGGTAGAGAAGAGCCCACCTGGGTGAAGTGTGGGTCTAGGTTGCCCTCTCATCGTTAGGGGGACATTTGTTAGTGCGGGTGAAAGAGAATGTTAGAGATGGCTTGTCTCATATCGTATGAATGAGTATACAACACTAAGTCTACGATATTTATTGCATGTACAAATTTCAAAACAAAAAACCGGAAGTTAATACTTTATCATTTATATAAAAACACATCTTACAAAAGGTATCATTATCGTTGGATCGAAGTTACTCCGATACTAATCTTGATTTATAAAACTGACAAACTTTTGCATGAGAGGTACAGCCTTCTCACTAGTGGGGTTGAACAGATGAAAGCAATGATCCTCACCTTCATTCTCCATAAACTCCACGCTCCCTCCCCACCCACTCTTCTTCAAGCTCTCAACATAACCCATACCTCTCGGTTTCAACCAATCCTTCTCCGCCACGCACACCAACGCTCTCTCACAACCCATCTTTCCCAAATCCGGATCCACCGCCGGGTTCAGTTTCGGGTCATCATCCGACCCACTACTCGTCGGATACAAATACTGTATCATCTTATCCGGTTCACTCCCCACAAAAAACGGGTGCACAATCATCACCCCTTTCAGCTTCAACCCGCTCACGCCAGCCCGGACAGCCACATTGTGGGCTATGTTCGCCCCGGCACTCTCACCCGCGAGGAAGACCCGACCGAAGTCCCCGTGCTGGTTGAAAAACGGGTCGGGTCCCGACCCGTTTTGATGGGAAATGATCCACTGCAACGCGGCCCAGGAATCGTCGTAGGCGATTGGCAGAGGGTGTTCTGGGGCGAGTCTATAGTCAACGGAAATGGCAATGAGCTGGGCTTTCGATGCCAGAGAGTTGAGAAACGTGCGCGCGATGTCGTCGAAGGGTGATCCGACACAGAAGCCTCCACCGTGGTAGTGGATGAGGATGGGGAGCTTTTGATCCGGACCGTTGATCTTGGACATGAAGACACGTGCCTTTAAGGGTATTTCTGGGGAGATCACAACGTCCTTTGATTGGACCCCAGTTGTGGGATCAACGGCTGGGGGGACTTCGTCACGGGCCATGAAGCGCTCGACGTGGCCATCTTTGTACACTCGGAAGAATGGCGGGAATTCTTGGGTAATTTCCTTAGAGCTTGAATCCATTGCAATTTTATAGAGAGAGAGAGAGTAAGAGTTATAGAGAGAGAAAGAGAGTGGAAATGGAGGATGAGTGTTCTCTGTTTGGGGATAGAGTAGATTTAAAGAGAGAAATAAATAGAGGTGTGGAGTGGTTCAGGTGTGTTGGAAAGGAAGGCGTTTGACTAGGAGGTGTGTGCTTTAGTAGGTGAGGGATGGACTGTTTGGTTATAAATGTTGTCATACAAATATACAATTCTTCACATCAATTGGAAATTCAAGCACCATGGTGCAATTGTTAGACTGGTAGTGCGGCTCAACACTTTTTCCCAAAGAAAATAGCTCAACCAACATCTATGTTTAAATAAATTTTAATTTTATCGTGAAAGTTTTTTTTTTTTTTTTTTTTTTTCAATAACTTGTCTACATTCTTATAATAGAAAAGGTCAAAAATACCCTTATAAGATTTCACTTCCGGTTAGTTGTTCCCTAATTTTTGTTCATTTGCGTTTCATTTTGGCTCAATTTTTGGTCCAAGTAGTTGCATTTTTTTTATATCGACACGAGTAAGAAAGATGAGTTACAGCAGTCAAAGGTATATAAAGATGCTATTTGGATTCACCTCTCTCTCTCTCTTCTTTTCACTGGTTTATCATCTTGTCTACAGCATCTTGGGAATCAACGAGTCTTTTTATTTTTTTATTTTTATAGTATGAATGTTAGATTATAAGTTAGTGGACAAAAGCTCAAAGTTAGGCTCCCCAAGACAACATGGAACAATCCAGCGATTGGTGGATTACAAAGGCGTTTGCAATCAACGATTCTTTTACTCTTTTGGGTTTGCTATTTCTATCTTACAAGATTTTTTTATTTTTATTTTTTACAAGGCAAACAAACAAGCCAAAAGACACAAACAGAGAAACACCAACATCTCTGCTACGGGGCAAACACCCAAACCAAAAAACTAGGCAAGCCATGAAAAACAAAGCTGCCCGCTGAATTCGCATAAGAAACCTTAGCAATAGCATGAGCCAGCGAGTTTGCTTCACGACGGACATGAGCAAGCTGCACCCAAGGAAAAGCATCCAAAAGCTGTTGAATATCAAAGACCAAAGCAAGAATAACAGCAGGACAACACGCAACTTCTTCACAGCATCACAAAGAATTAGAGAATCACTTTCAAGATACGAGTATTGAAAGGGCGGAAGAAGCAGGGAAAGTCTTAAGCACAACCACACGCAAAACGGCACCCCTATGATAACGAAACACAAGACTACCTCTTGCCCAACCCTTTTGAGAAAGGAAAGCTGCATCCATATTGCATTTGATACTACCAAACACTGGAGGCTGCCAAAAAAGAGAAGGAGAAGGAACAGATGAAGAAGGCATGACCGGTTGACGATGTGAAGCTTCTTTAAACTCCCAAAATGCGGAAACAGCCAAGTGCACAATTTGATGAGGGGGAGAAAACTGCGTATAGGAGACATCTTCCAAACATGAATAGCTTGGGAATAGCAGATGCTCCACAGATTCTGGACCATCCCCACATAAAGCACAACAAGCATCATTCACCAAGCCCCTGGATTGCAAAGCTGATCTCGTTGGGAGCACCCCGTGGGCACATTGCCACAAAAAATGCTTAATTTTAGGCGGACAACAGCAGTTCCAAATTTTGTTCCAGAATGAAGAAGCTTCCGATTGAACAGCAAAATGGGGATGAAGCAAAGAAAAAGCAACATGATAAGCCGATTTGACGGAAAACAGGCCATTTTCAGTGAAAGCCCAGGTTGGACGATCAGTGCAACCTCGCACACTAAGGGGGATACGCCGAATAGCAGCCACCACTGATGCTGGAAATAACTGAGAAAGAAGTGGATAAACCCATAATAAAGCTAAAAATGCTTGAGAAAAAGAATGAAATGGAAGCACTGTAAAGTTGTTCAAACGGACCGAGCTGATTGTGTTGCAAAGGGTGAAGATGATATAGTACATGGGCTTGGGTTGAATAGACGGGCTTGGGTTTTTCTGTAAAAGAAATGAATGACTATAACAGATTGGGTAAGGTTGGGCTGGGTATAGACTACTTATTAGTTAAAATGAGGCCTAAGTCTTGCGCTTCATGGTGAACGGAATAAGTGCTTGGTGAACGGAATAAGTGTTTATCCAATTAAGCATATTTCATAGCACAACTTAAGTATCGCTAAAAACGATAAGTGACACTTAAAATGTGATCAAATTTGAAGTGACAGGAAGAGTTGAAGGCTAAAAATTCAAAAAAATAATTATTTTTTAATTACTATTTAAAAACTTCAACACTTAAAACTTGGTACTTAATTTTCAATTTTATCAAACACCACCTAATGATTAATTAGCTTTCTTAAAATAGCCTATATATATATATAAACATGATTTTTTTTTTTTTTTTTGAACAAACAAGCCGATCTGGGAGTTGTTTGAGCTTGGTTTGTTTAGTAATTAAACATTTTTTTTTTTTTGAGCTTGATTTATCTATTAAACACACACGAATCAGAGTTATAGCAAGTCGAGTCCGTGTTGTTCGTCGAATGCTTGGTTCATTTATAACCCTATTGATAATCTATATAAAACGTGTAAGTCAAATATATGAAATTATTGACAAGGTGATTCTTCTGAAGATAAACCAACCTCAAAACGTGAGTTTAAGAAAATAATAATAATAATAATTTGTGGATCGAATTCCACAATCATATAAATATAATTCAGTAACAACCAAATTTGGCCTTCCTCTTGGAAAAATCAGAACAATACACTAAATGGGATTTTAGAGCTAAAAGTTGTCTTCCACATTTTTAGGGCTCCTTTCCTAAATGGGATTAGATTTATGGAAAAGAAAGGTCATCACAACAAGGCACTTTGAGACAAATTAGTATCAGTATCACACACAAATTAGGCTCTACCTTTGGATATGGTTGGAGATTCTCTAAACCCTAGTTGATCTATACCTAATTTGATGGCATGTGATCCTTATTTGTTGTTCATGTGATATAGATGTGTCACCTACAAGTACCAGTACATTACTCTTGGAAAAATCAGAACAATACACTAAATAGGATTTTAGAGCTAAAAGTTGTCTTTCACATTTTTAGGGCTCCTTTCCTAAATGGGATTAGATATATGGAAAAGAAAGGTCATCACAACAAGGCACTTTGAGACAAATTAGTATCAGTATCACACACAAATTAGGCTCTACCTTTGGATATGGTTGGAGATTCTCTAAACCCTAGTTGATCTATACCTAATTTGATGGCATGTGATCCTTATTTGTTGTTCATGGGATATAGATGTGTCACCTACAAGTACCAGTACATTATTTTCAAATTTCTGACTTAATTAATTATTATTTAGCCACTTGTAATATACTAGTGCTTAGCTTCATGTTTTCTAAAGCTACAATTTAATTAATATGGTTCAATGTATCGGTCGATACACAACCCTTTTCTAAGTTCGATACGCAATTTGTATCGACCAGTTTACATTGATTTTGTACGAGTCCGTTATACTGTGATCACGACGATATTACGAGTGTGACCGATACTGCCAACCATTAAAAGTTATAAAATTAATCTACAAATATTTTACTTTCCATAAAACTCTTTAAATCAAATTAAATTTAAAAATGAAAAAAGAGAAGCAAAAAGGGTCCTTAACCTCTCAACTTGTGATTTCATTTTTCCTCCCAAAGTGAAAAAAAAAATAATGGATTTCATATGTTTTATGTAATACTAATTGGATTCTTTTTTTTTTTTTTTGCATAGTAAAACATTCATTTTAGTCTTTTTTTCTCGCCGTAATTTTTTTTAATAAAAAAAATGATACTTCGTCAGGATTCGACTCCTTAGCCTAGCTCTTTTCAATAGGACCAGACATTAATTATTCCAAAACAAAATGATTAATGATAATTTATGTTAATAATTTTTTTTTTCTTTTTTTTCTTTTGTTGAGTAACGCTATCTGCCCAAACTCACACCTAACAACAATAATTGACCAAAAAAAACAAAAAGTTAAAATTTGTAGAGAAATTCATAGAGATTACTGAACTTGTAGGCATAAGAGTTATAATCTGGCAATATCTATTGGAAATTTTAATTTTTGCAAGATAAAATGAGATTTGCCTAGGACAAAAAAATAAAAATACAAAATAAAAAGGTAAAATATACTGATCTCCCTTGAAGTTTGGACAAATTACACACCCGTAAAGTGTTTGATCTTTATTACTTTGACATTTCATCAAATTTGGCACGTGCGCTCAACACCATCCCTTACTGTTAATTAAAAAATAACTAAATTGTCATTTTCTTATGTTCAAATACTTTTAAAACATTTTATTGATATAAAATGAAAAAAATACCATGCAAAGTATTAATTTTCATACCAATTTTATATTATTAAATTTTACAAAAATAACTTTTTCTTTCCGTAGGATAGGAAAAAATGGCACACAAACTAGGGTATTTGGACGATAGACAATGTAATCATTGAAACCATCTGCTGCCTAGGTTAAAGACAAGCTACTTGGATCCTTGTTTGAAGTTTGAACCTCTTCCAAAGCAATAGTTTTACAACTGTAGGTGTAGTCAATATAATCTTTTTATGTTCATAATTCAATTAAAAGTTGTAAGTTCTCTATTTTAGAAGGATGAGATACATTACATTGTCTATTGAAACAGCTTAAAAAACCTCACAAAATGATAAACAAAATCTTATGAAAAACCCAAGGAGACTCTTAAAAGTGCAATGAACAGAAGAATTCAAAGAGTCTTATTACTCAGATAAGATCAGAAAATAATTTATGGAATATCACATAGAAATGGCATGGTTAAAGACGTTTCTGGTAGTTAGTATTGAATATCACTAGTCATGCATTCTGTTGGTGGTTGGTGATGGACACAACCGGTAGTGAGGACATCTGTGAGCCAAATTTCAGAAATTAAATTCTCTTTGTTATGGCCTCCAACTTGGAATCTAATTAAGCATCCCTTGAAACCCATTAGTGACTCACTTGATAACCCATTAAGCCAAGACTCATACCAATCTGGTATCACCATCTTGAAGCCATCTTTTCTCTGCACATAATCGCTCTGCTTCTCTTCATCCGCCGACAATTGAATCAATTGATCATCAGTACTTTTCTTGA